CCCCCCAGCCCAGCTGATGAAGAACACGGGCGTCATCCTCGCCAACGACGCCAACGCCGAGCGCCTCAAGAGCGTGGTGGGGAACCTGCACCGCCTCGGGGTCACCAACGCCATCGTCAGCCACTACGACGGGCGCCAGTTCCCCAAGGTGGTGGGGGGCTTCGACCGCGTGCTGCTGGACGCGCCCTGCAGCGGCACGGGCGTCATCTCCAAGGACCCCGCCGTGAAGACCAACAAGGTGGGCGCCGCCGCCTGGGCACTGGGCATGAACCGGGGCGCCGGGCGGGCACTGGGCATGCGCCAGGACGCGGGGCCGGCACTGGGCATGCGCTAGGATGCTGGGCGTGCACTGGGCATTCACTGGGCTGCTGGCATGCGCATGCGCTGGGGCACCGGGTGGGCACTGGGCATGTGCTGGGGTGTTGGACCACTGGACGGACACTGAGCATGCGCCGGGACGGCGGGCGGGCACTGGGCATGCGCTGGGCCGCTGGCATGCCGGGCGGGCACTGGGCATGCGCCAGGGTGCTGGACCGCCGCACGGACACTGGGCCGGCACTGGGCATGCGCCGGGCGGGGGGGGCACCCGCTCACCCGCCCCCTCCCCCTCCCCGCCGTGCAGGACGAGAAGGACATCCTGCGCTGCGCGCACCTGCAGAAGGAGCTGCTCCTGAGCGCCATCGACTCCGTCAACGCCGCCTCCAAGACGGGCGGCTACCTGGTCTACTGCACCTGCTCCATCACGGTGAGCTGCGGCCCGGGGCGCGGCCGGGCGGGCGGGCGGCCGGGAGCCCCCCTCCCCCCCCTGCGCCCCGCACCCCAGGTGGAGGAGAACGAGTGGGTGGTGGACTACGCCCTGAAGAAGCGGAACGTGCGCCTGGTGCCCACCGGCCTGGACTTCGGCCAGGAGGGCTTCACGCGCTTCCGCGAGCGCCGCTTCCACCCGAGCCTGCGCGCCGCCCGCCGCTTCTACCCGCATGCGCACAACATGGACGGCTTCTTCATCGCCAAGCTCAAGAAGTTCTCCAACGCCGTCCCCCAGGCCCCGGCCCCGGCCCCGGCCCCGGCAGGTGGGTGATCCGCCCGTCCCCACCCCCACTCCGTCTCTTTTGCCAGGCCTGGGCTTGAACTCAGCGCCTGGGCGCTGTCCCTGAGCTGCTTTTGCTCGAGGCTGGCGCTCTACCACTTGAGCCACAGCGCCACTTCTGGCTTTTTCAGAGTATGTGGTACCGGGGATTCGAACCCAGGGCCTCATTGCATACGAGGCGAGCACTCTACCATCTAAGCCACGCTTCCAGCCCCCCTCCTCCTACTTGCTTCTTAATGCCAGGGCTTGAGGTCCTATCTATCCTTCAATTTCTCTGCTCAGTTGAGATGCTATACCACTTGAACCACACCTGCACTTTTTAGCTTTTTGGTAGTGAATTGGAGAGGAAACATCAGTTTTTTCATGGGCTGCCATTGAGCTGCAGTCCTCTGACCTCAGCCTCCGCAGTAGCCGGGATTACAGGCGTGAGCTGCTGGTGGTGTGACTGCAGGACAGCAGCGGATGTAGGTGCTCGCTCTTCCTCTGTGCTTCACAGGGAGACCCTGGTTATCCAACCCCCCAGCCCCTCTGTGCAGGTTGGGGCGCACACAGATGGGGGAGCCCCTCCCTTGCACGTGGCCCTGTTGAGCACTAAGTGCCTGTCCGCGGCCGGCTGTGGTTTCTCTGGCTTCTTGGCCCTGGATCGACTTACTGGTAACATAATATTCCCTGCTGCTCTGGCATTGCCGGGCTGGGCTGGGCTCGCGCTGGCCTCACAGAACGGTCAGCAGTTTTGAGTCCATCACATTAATGGAGGATTGCGCCCTCCACCATCCTGAGGCGGGCGCGGATCTCCAGGGGGAGGGTGGGGTTCTCCGCAGCACCAGCCTGTGACCTCTGCCTGCCCATAAAGAATCCAGGCAGAGTGGGGATCTGCTCTAAACGATTTGATTTGGGGGGCGGGGAGGAGGAATGGCCCCCAGGGCCTGTGCCTGCTAGGGAGGTGCCTACCCGCTGGGCCACGCCCCCGGCGCTGCTTTTTGTTTTTCTTTTCAATCAGTGCCCCTTACAAAGCCGGCGTCAGAATGTTATCAAAAACTTGGCGATCTCCACTGTCCTCTTTCTAGTTGAGGGTGGCAGGGAGGGGGGGATCCTCGTTTTCGTGGGTTGCATGACAGCTCACAGCGAGAAAGAATGACCTCCGGCTTGACGAAACAGCCGGTGGCTCACACCTGTCATCCCGGCTACTCAGGAGGCTGAGATCTGAGGATCGAGGTTCAAAGCCAGCCCAGGCAGGAAAGTCCGGGAGACTCTGATCTCCCATAAACCACCAGAAAACCCGAAGTGGAGCCCTGGCTCAAGTGGTAGAGCGCCCAGACCTTGGGTTCAAGCCCCACAACCAGCTCCCCCCCCCCCAAAAAAAAAGTACGCTGCCCGGGCAGGCCTGGAGTCACCTGTGCTGTGTCGTTACCCCCAGGGACTCGTGCAGCCGACCCCCCTGCGGAGCCGGACCGCCCCGCGCCCCAGAGCCGCAGCCCGCCCGCCAAGGAAGCCAGGGCGGCCGCGAAGGCCCAG